TGCATCGATAATTTATATCCGCCGTTGTCTCCGATCTCAGCGAACCGAAAGAGCAGTGTAGACGAAAAGTATAGGTCGCTGGTCTCTCTGTGCAGTTCTGTTCCTTTCTTTCCATAAGCCATTAATTACGTGTCGATGGGTTTCGATTCCATTCGCCTCGATTCGATTGTTTAAACTATTGTTTAAACCAACGGAATTGGCTTCTCAATCTATAAGACCATTTATTATGTCTGATGTAACTAGCAATTTAAACCGAATAACCGATGAAGTCCCACGAGTTATTTGCCACTGATTGGGGCGGAACCGAAATTATAGACTTTGCTATCGCATTCGCCTAGGTATCTCTACGTATATCTCGAGAGGAACTCTTTCTCTTTCTTGATTCTGACCCTGAATACGAATCTCTGGGTCTCTGGGTGTGTAAACAATATCGGAAAACACTTTTCTGCAAGAGTTTTTTCCATCTCAATTCACTATTTCCATTTCATTTCCCATTTACCCATTTGATGATGATGATCCCCCGATCGTAATCGAAATCGAAATCGTTTTCCCGTATAAACAATATATCAAAGAACGTATGTGTTGTTTGTGTTGCGCTTCCCCACACATGTACTACAACCGATGGATACGCTTCTTCGAACACTCGAACAAATTTCTGTCTTTATGGGCATTTCCATTATTCCCAGGTACGCGGTACCCGGTACCCGGTACACCGAAATACCGATTCCGATTCAGATTCAAATTCAGACGCTGATGGAATATATGATCTCCTCTCTCTCTCTCTCTCTCTGTGCCTCCTGCCTCTCACTCAACCTTCTTTGTCGTCGCCTCCTTCTTTGTGTCTATGTCTGTGCTTGGGGGTCGCCGCCTCGGGATCTGGCTCTACTGTGTGATGTGTATATTTCCCACATTTGTTTTGTGTTATTGCTTTCATAGCCCCCCTCCCCCCGACCAGCAGTATCCCCAGTATCGTTTGCATCCCCAATATTCCAGGGTATTTGTTACACTTGTTCTCGCTCATTGGCAAATGTGTATGCATCATTCCACAATTGTTGTCTTAAGATAGATGATTGATCACCACAGAAAGATGATTTTGATGCTATGACTTTTCTTTTAGATAAATGTTCTTCATAGTTTTCGCACTGTGCATAGTATTACCGAGTACATTCGTATTACAATCGATTGAATTCTGGGTACTTCTTCATAAAAAATAGTTGCAATGGAACTTTTCTGGGATCTGTTGGGATCAAATAAATTTCTGAAAAATCATTGAGGGGGCAGTGAGTAAAAACTTACATATGTTGCAAGAGAAAAAGGTTCGGAATCCAATATTATGGGAATATTTAGAATGAAATAAGATAAGATAGTACTCATACAGTTTCAATGACTTATTCTTCCAATCAACATCAATACCGATATAATTCGAACCATTCTGTATTCCTTATATTCCTATATCAACTTTTCGGGCTAGAAACATATTGGATCTCCTACTCTTGTCACTGATATTTCATTTCGTGCTCCAGAACTTCTGAGAACTTAACCCCGAAGTCAATTCCCAATTTCCACTCGCATTTTTGTCCAAGCAGGGTATCAATATATCGTTGCACGCCTTCATCAGTCGCCTTCGATCACTATCGCCGGGCACTGGCACTGGCGCTGGTGTCCATGCCTATTTGTGTTTTCCTGTGTTTTTGTGTTCTGCAGATGCTTTTGGTTTGAAAATAACTTCGAATGGCTCATAGAGAGAGGCGGCAACAGAGATAGCCAGAGAGTGAGAGCATGGTCGCGCGATTTATTTATTTTTATAGTTTGGACGAACGGCGGACTTCTGGCTAGGCGGCAGCGCCGCCGAGTGGGCAAAGCGGCGGGCACGTGGAAGCCGCCAACGAAATGGCAAATGGAAATGGTCGAAAGTTATGGGAATGGGAATGGCGATGGGAGGGGGTGGTGGATATGGGGTGGTGGGAGATGGGAGTCCCACCGCGGATAAGGATGATACGTCATGACTTTGGTCGGCCGCTGTGGTGGCACTTACCAGAATGGGTCGCTCATTGGCGTAGGACAGTTTTCGCGTGTTCCGCAGGGTCTCCAGCCAGAGAGAGTTTCGGCGTGCCGTGCTTGTGGCGCCACCGCTGCCGCCTCCCCCAACGCTGCCCGTGCGCGTCATAGCCGCGGCTGCGGCTGCGTCTGCGTTTGGGTGTCCGTCTGCTGTTGGCAGCGACGACGACAGTAACGGTAGTGCTGTGGCAGCGGGTACCAGTCGCTGCGATGGTGGCGGCAGCGTCGACGTCAACGATAGTGACGGTGAGGGTGACGCCGACGCCGACGCTGACGGCGAGGGCGATTGCGATGGCGAGGCAGATGGGGTTGCCGATGGCGATGGCGATATCGATGGCATCAATTGAGATGCTGACGACGCTGGCAGCGTGGCCAGCGGCAGTGGCAGCGACGGTGGCGGTGGCGGCATGGCGGCAAGTGTGGGATTGCCGGCGGTCAGGCATTTCTGGTATAGAGTGCCCGGATTGCACTCGTTCTCCATGCAGGAGGCCGGCGACATGCTCTGGAGCTGGGGGCCCCCGTACAAATTTGCACAATTCCCCTTATTTGTTTAATATCAAATATCCTTTGTGTGCTCACTCTCTCACTCTCTCACTCACTCACACTCTCTCACGCGCACGCTTTGGACCCAAAGTCACAAAAAGCAAAAACATTGCCAGCAGCGGCAGGGGCAACGACTGCCTGGGGCCCTGGAACCCTGGAGCCAAGAGCCTGAAGAGAGGTCAAACTGTTTGCACAGACAAAAAAAAAAGTGCAGTTTCCGTTTCACTTGCAGAAAATACAATCGCAACGGGAGCGCACGCGACCAAGAACCGCAGCAGCGCACTTTCCAATGGGCTTTGGATTGAGATTCGGATGGAAATTGTGATTTTGATTTCGATTTTGATTTGGTGTTCCAGCCAAATGGGTATTTTGGCTGCGTAAATGTCCAGAATGTAAACAAGCAGACCCAATCGGCATTTATTATAAACTTTTTGTACTTTCATTCGCGAGAGACAGCGGCCTGGGACGGTGGAGCACTTTAACAGCGAAATAGCGAAACAGCGAAACAGCGGAGCAGCGATCCCTTCCGACGCAGCGCAACGACGACGTACAAATGGTTGGCCCACCAAAAAATTATATTTATATTCCCATCTTCTCTTTCTGCTTCTTTGTCTGCCTTTTCGTCTTCCATTCTGTTCCGCCAATATAACGGAACAGAAGAGCCGATTTGGGGAGCACGCGTCGCTGCTCGTGGATCGTAAATGGGGTGGATCACGATTGGGAAGTTGGATGCCGAGTGGACAGAAGGCAGCAGGTGGACGGAGAGGGCGGCTATGGGCAGCAGCACCAGCAGGTGGAGAGCGCAAAGCCGGGTGAGAGGGTACAAGGACTGCAGCAAGGTGCATTTACAGATAGTATATACACAGTATATTTGAGGGAACTTCTATTAATTACATATGTTATGAACTCTCTGTCTCCCTTTATCTGTTTCACACACAAAAGGAACTGCAACAAAATTTCGGCAATGAGGCAACGAGGTGTGAGGGCAATGCCTAACCCTATATTAACACACCTTGATCAGCAGGCGAAGAGAGTGATGCTGGAGGCGAAGACAGCAGCACGTGGAATGATCGGAAGAGACAGCAGCAGGAGGAAACTCGGAAGAGGGAAGCAGAAGGAAGAGAGAGAGAACGACGGAAGAACATGAAAAACAGGGGAAGAAGAGATGGCAAAAAACATTAACAGGTGGAGAGAGTAAGAAAGGCAGCAACCGAAAAGAGGGGGAGCGTCAAGAACAAGCCGATTAGTGGTGCGCTGAGAGAGACATCCGTTAGTTGGTGGTCTCTATGCAACGGGCGAATGAATGGAACACCTGATCGCGTCGACGTCATGAAAATGAATATTTTGCAGCCCATAAAACGTTTCCCCAATGGTCGCGCTACTCCAAGCGGGGACCGACCCGCTGAATACCCTTTACACATATATACCCGTATATAGATTGCTGTGGATGGAGCTTGGCGATAAGAATACATAGTATAAACAGTACATTCAATCAGATCTACAGTAAGTGCTGCCATCTCAAACGGAATTGGTGCAAATTAAAACATTTTTCAACTACGTCTTACCTGGTCGAGTCGATCAATAATACATATAGTATATATAGGATATGTGTGCGATCTACAAAGATGCAGAACTACAGCAAAGCTTTGTTTTGCGAAAGCTTTTGTTGAAACGACTGTGTGCGGATGAGGAAGTGGAAGCCAAAGCTTAATGGATGCTAAGATTGATGTGAAAGTGGAATGTGAATAGAACGGTGGGATGCGGAAAAGGGATGCAGATAGGGAATGCCAAAAGTGGAATCTAAAGGTCGGATATGGGGTGAGACAACTGATGGATGGGCACGTGGAATGCGACAAATACAGGATGCGGAAGTGGAGGCCAAAGTGGAATGCGGCAGTGGATTGCAACTATGGGATGCGGAAGTTCAGGCTGCAAAAATGCTCAACAATCACTAAAACTGGTTTCAAACGGTTTTTTGTTTTTTCCATTCTCATTTTTTGCTTTTTTTTTTGTTTTTGGTGGTTTTTTCTAGAGATTTGAATGGACATCGAGGCAGTGCAGACTAGGAAGAAACTTATACCAAAACGCAAACCGGATTGGACAAAAGGCATTTAGCATTTAGCATTTATCAACAATCTACATGACCGGCAAGGGCTCAAGGCGGGGTGGTGCCATTGGAAATAACTTGGAACTTTTGGAACTACTCGTACAACTGGTTCACATGAATTTTGGTTTTTGTTTGTTTGTTTTGGTTTTCATGTTTCATTCTAAACATTTACGAGTATATGTACATACACATAAAACAAAATTGTTAGTTTTGGAAAATGGGTTTTTTCGGTGTATATTTCTTTTGTAATTGGTTTCTGTTGTTGTCATTTTTTTTACTGTTTGTTAAATACCATTTTGGAGCTTTGGAGCGTTTCGCTAGTGGCCTCGGTGAAGGCCCTTCGAAGTCTCAACTTTCGGCTTTCGGACAAGGTGCGAGGCATTAGAAGAACGCCCTGGAGAGAATTGTGAGAGTGGTTGCGATAGGCGATTAATACAGATTAGTTAGTTAGTTGCTAAGTTAGTTAGGTTACTGGAGCGAGAGAGAGCTAAAGATTCCGAGGGAGGGGGCGGCTAGGGAGCGGGAAACATACGTAGGGATGGATTTAAGCAGTTTCCATACATATCTATCATAGATCATAGTAAAGACATAAGTCAGTTGCGATTCCTACAGATACAGTGCGTTCCGGAACTGATTGGTAAAAGATTATTTATCGAAAAATGATCGGTTTAGTTATCGATACGTTTTTTTATCGAATTCGTTTAGTTGTTGTTAATATTTTATTGCACGACAGCTCTGAAACGCACTGTAGTAGCATATACATAAGTATTATAAAAGTTAGATAAGATAATATTTCTATCGCAACTACATAGATAATAGCAACTTATGCGATATTTAATACGATTAATAACTATAACTATTAGAATGATATTTCATAAAAGATAATAATATATTAAGGTATAGACACGAAAAGATACTTATGTGAATGGGGGAAAGAAAGAGTTAACGTTCCTGCGGGACTTCCCCCATCCAAGGTGGAACATAAAGGTACATACGTCCATACATATGCATATAGGTGGGGGGATGAGTGGAAAAGTTCCATGAACTTCCATGTTATGTTGCATAATTAAGTGGGAGAAGCTTTGCAACAAACAAAAAACAGGAACAAGAACAAAAAATAGAGAAAAAACATAAGACAATCGAAAACTTGAAATACGTTAGAGCTTTTACCAGATGTGCAGCACGAAAGGGGTGGTGGTGGGGTTCCAAAAGCTTCTTTAGCTTGAAGAAGAAATGCCAAAGCTTCTGGCAGCCATTCGGTGATTGGCAGTTGGGGCGACTGACGATTGAAATAGAAGCACATACAATTTTTATTGTCTTTTTTATTCATGTTAAATGTGCCTGGAAAGCTTTCAACCGGCGAAATGTTAAGTGGCGGTCCATACCACTCCCCTCCGTCTATTTCACTATGGGACTGCCGTTAGTTTTTAAAAAAATAAAGCTTTGCTCCCCAAAAAGCTCCATGCGATACTAGCGGGAGTCTACTCCTACGATTCCCTCCAGCTTTCCCGAAAGACACAACCCCCAAACGCAATTATCTCTAAAGGGTGGGCGGGACAGATGGGGGAATGGGGGCGGGAAGGTCAGAAAAATAGGAAAAACGCGACAGCAAATGTCAAAGAGTGAAAAAATTCATCAATCATAGCCGTAAGGTCACTTCCAGCATGAAGAAAGCGATGTTTTTTTCCTTATACCCCAGATATCTATCTATAGATATACTCGTATTTCATTTTTTTCGAATATTTTTGGGGAGCACCAAAAGAAAAGTTCAGACGTCGCCGTATATTAATATTAATTATAATTATATCTGCCTTTCGTGGGAGACAGCGAAAGATATTGATAAATGTGTTGGGGGGTTTGGGGGGCAATCGTTTGGCATTTCGTGTGAGAATTAGGCACGCCTCCAATCCTCTTTTTGGGGCACTTAACACAGTCCCATAATCAATTTCCCCATCAGCAGCAGCAGCAGCAGATACTGGTGAAAATGATTCAATTAAAATTTCTCCTTGTTTTTCTCTTACTTCTTGATTAAGTTTTTTCGTACTGCTTCTTTCTATTTCGGTGGGAAAAACGACTTGAATGCCCACCTACCAAGACGCAAATGGCACATCTTCTTCCCCATCTCATGATCTCCACTATTCGGCCCCATCCTCGGGCCCATCTCCTACCACATCTCCACTATTCAGCTCACTCCTCACTTCTCGATTAAATAGCGTGTAAACAAAATTTTTAATTATGCCCCAAAAAATGCCAGAGAGAGGGAGGGAAAACACCCATGGAAAGAAACAAAAATCGAGCGGGGGCACATTTGAGGGAGAATGGAAAATGCACAAATGAACAAAATAATTGTTCAGCCAACGCCGCGTATGAGCAATATTGATTTTCACTAATTGGATTTCCGCGCGGAAAAGCGTTAGACCGTGGGATGAGGCGGTCACAGAGGGGTACGGGGGGCTGCGACAAAAACCATTAAAACTGAAAAAAGAGAAAATCAAGAAACAACAAAGTAAGCAAATCGCTTTATGAATATTAGAAAACAATAGAGAAATTAAATAAGGAAATATTTGAGTATCGAAATTCCTCATGAAAATGTGTGAGGGACTCTACAAGTAATACGATAGAGAAAGAGTGATCTACAGGAGGGGATATTCGGTATATACTTTGATTAAAATTAGATTACAGATTAACATTACTGAGTAAAAGTTAATAAAATGTTGATAATATAATAGCTCAAGTTCTTTGTGTCGTAAGACGCGTAGTTGTGCGACCAGTGTGACCACAGTTGTTTAAATTATGGGTTGTGCAATACGATGGTCACCCTAAGTGCAAGATCATCTGCGATGGTCACTCGACAGGTCACTAGCCTTAAGTCTGGCTACACTCTTTAATAATAATATTCGAAGTAGTAGGGCCACACTGTACTATTACTTGACGGCCGCAATTCATTGTGTAAACTGTAAAGGGATCAGTGATCACTTATTGTTAGAATGGCTTGACGCAAAATCCTCTGGTCACACTTATCTGCTGGATGATAAACACCAGTCTGGCCACACTGTTTATATATCATGGACTCTGTACAGAAAGGCAAAGATTTGAGAACACAGAACATCGAGTGCGAACAGTGTCTACATCGAACATCGAATATGTACATATATATACTTTAGAATATATGTACTAGTATATATACTGTATAAAAAGACTTGTGGATCGAATATATCGATGTCGTATGGGTATACTCGAACAGGACCACTACCGTTGCAGGTGCTGCATGGAGAGGGACGCTGCGAAAATATATATGGAATATGGATGCTCTCACCTGCTTGAAGGGTCGCATTCCACCGTTGATCCGCAGGGAGTCGGCAGCAATGCCGGCGATGCCATCTTGTGTGCTCTCCCGCAACTGTTTCAGCGACACATTGGGCACCGTGTGCGAGTGGGCATGCCCCACGCAAGTTGCGTGCGTGCCACAACATATGGCCGTGGTGCTGGACTCCGGCTGTGAGCTCTGCCTAATGATGCGCGACCCGTTCGTCGGGGACGACGTGATAAGCACCGGGGGCACCTGCTGCTGGTGATGCTGATACAACTGTAGCTGTTGCTGTTGCTGATGCTGGATCTGGAGCTGTTGGTGCAGCTGAAAGTGTTGCTGCTGGTGCGAAGGATGCTGCTGCGACTGTAGCTGTTGATGCTGCTGCTGGAGGGCAGAGTTTGATATGCAAATGGCCATCGAGCTGGTGAGATTTCCGCCGCTCTTCACGCTGTCCCGCGATGCGGAACGGTCGATCATGTGTCCGGTGGACATGGGCGTTGTGGAAGCACGGCGACTGCAGTTGCGGCATGCTCGGCAACGACTCGGCGCACTCGGCGGTATGCTGGACGCCAGATTTTGATATGATGAGGTCCCCAGATTGGGATGACTCCCAGGACTGGGGCTTGGACCCAGACTACTGCCAGCTTCGTTCGGCTTTAGGCTTAAATTCATAATTGATATGGTCGGTTGTTGCTGCTGCTCCAGCTTGGTCGTCGATGTATTATTGGTCTGTGTTTGCTGTGGATCTTGGTCCTCTTCTTCGTAAACCTCAATGTCTGGCACCATGGTTGTTGTGGCAGGCACCGCGGCAGTACCAGTGCCACTGGCTCTTAGTCCCTGTTCAATATCCTCGTCATGCTGCATCATCCCGCCGCGCATACTCTCCTCAGAGCCCATACGCGACTGCTGCTGCTGCGACTGTTGTGGACTTGTCAGATATGTGGAGGTGCGATCCTGCCGCATCAGAGTCGGCTTGCCTCCCGATCCCCCGGAGGCCATATTGCTGGTGGATCCCGTTCCCGATCCCGAGGCGGATGGCAATGTGGTAACCACTGTGGTGGCGACTGTTGGTCCATTGGCTGAGCTGCTGTTCTTCACCTGGCGCAGCAGGGCGGTTCGACCGCCGCCGCCCCCACCTTTGGGGGTGCCGCTGCTCACCAGCAGAGAGTCCGTCTCCTCGGAGCTCACGTATCCTGAGTTTGCGTTGTCGTTAAGCTTTTGAATTGACATCTGGAAAAGGGAAAAGACCATTCAAAGATACAGCAATAATAAATAAGAAATATCAAGTAATTGAGACACTCGGGATATTAATTTCTAGATAAATATCCGTAGGAATTGCCTGCTGCATCAAAAGGAAAACGAGTAGTGCTTGTAGAGCTTTCAAGATCTTAAAAATATATAAATGTTGGCAGAAGGCTTCCTATTGACAACAGCTGGAGCCTATTTTTGTGCCATGAGAACGGTGCTGATTGTTTGGGATTAAAAATATTAAATATTAAAAATATATATTACAAAGGAATACCATAGCTTGGAGCTGCGGCAAAGCAAATGTGCATGATTAAAACTAGTCATGGTCACAGAGATGTAGATTACAGAGATCTTTTCCTGGTCCCATCTACCATTAAGAGAGCTGAATGCCTCTGTGAAAGAGGTATAGCCGTAGCTTCAAACTTCCTCTAGGACATATACAAAGTTACAAAAACAATCTGAAAGTCCACAAAAAGAATGGGAAGAAAACTAAACCCCAAAGGCTGTACAGTGGCTGAAAGAAGTAAGTGGACACAGAAAAGAGGAGGGCTATAATCTGGCCAAGAATTGGAAAAAGTCGAGAACCAAAAGGAGGTAAACAAAAAAAGCTACCGCAAAGCTCTGTAGAAGAAGAACTATTCGAATGAAGTTGGAAGCCCTGGGGCACACATCCTGGACGAAAAGCAGATGCCATCCATGAGCTGATAAGCCGGGAAAAGCTTCAAAGCCATGCCATGCATGCCACACAAAAGCTCAATGACCGCAAGAAGGAGTGTAGTGTACCCCAAAAAGAGGCAACAAAACAACAAAAAAAAAACTAATTTGAAACTGGACTCGAAAATGTTGGTAATGAAAATCAATAATTCAACTATAAATACTGCCAGGGAAAAAGTGTAAATTATGCAGGACGAAAGTTATGCAGGAGGACCCGCAGATGAAGAAGGATTTTGTTTTGTGTTTTTGGGGAGCTCCCCCTCCTCACACTGGCGCGGGAAAGGACAGCCCAGAGACTGAAAGACTGAAACTGAGACTGAGAATGTGAAATGCTGAAACACCTGCAGAGTAATGAGTTCTCCCCGATTATATATGTACGTACATACATATGTATGTATAAGAAATAATATATATGTATAAGTCCATTATACGTTTGCATGTTGAGCGTGCCGCTAATAATAGTTGCCGGCCCCCAGACCCCCAGACCCCCAGACCCCCAGTTCCCAGACCAGAGACCCATTGAGGGCGCTACCCATAGACTAGAGTCCACGTCTACGTCCACGTCCACGTCCACGTCCATGCCACAGATACCCACTACATATGTATGCACGAGTTTGTATGTACATATGTATGTACGCATGCCTCCGCCGTACATGGTGGTGGAGATGGAGATGGGAACGTGTCCATTTCTCTCTGGCTGCAAATTGGGTTAAAATCATTTTTGGTGGCGGAATGCAATCGCATTGTTGTCTAGGCCGAAAAATGAAATTCAATTGTTTATGGGCCAGCCCTTGATGGGATTTTCTATAAATATCGCTCGCTTATTGATTGATTTCTCAGTCAGCCCGACAGTAATTTCTCAAAAAGAAAAATATATGAACTACAAACATGAAATAAAATAAGGAGGAGAAAAACCCGCTGAATCACCTTTGGGCCGATAGAAAAAAAAGATTGCCAAAGTCCATTCATGGATTGAAACTGGAATAATTGATAAACAACTTTTTATTTTCATTTTCGCTGCGATGATTTGGCGTGATGAAATTTTAATCGCTCCATTAAGATGATTGTTTTATCGTGGGCGCTATGGTGTTCGGTGCTACAGTGCGATTCGGCCCCCATTATTGGCATCATTTGGATCGAGGGGCGATCGTTTGTATAAAGATCATTACATAAACTATCGGAGATCCATCAGTTTGTTTTCTATGAACCCTGAAATTGGGCATAAAAAGTGATTGATTTTTGTGGCTTCTGTGATTGATGATCCGCTGAAGTAAATAAATATTATCGACACGTTTAATTAAAGACGATCATTTACACGATTCATTCAACTCATTTGATGAGCTCATTCTTAAGTTTATAATATTCAATAACACGATCAATTTCGTTTCGGGACTACCTTTGGTTGCAATCGATTTATATACATATGAGTTATTTAAATGAATAAATCCATATAAGCATATTGAAGTGCTATGTGATTGAAATTTCACCATTTTCTCCATTCTCTAGGACTCTTCTCTTAGCGATAAATGCTCATTAGAATCAATCAATCGATAAACGATTGAAATTCAGGATATATTTCTTTACGCTCGCTCTACACTTTTCCATATCTGGCAATCTTCAATACGAATGCTTACCTTTACCTTTACCAAAATATCTGGGACTTGATCGATAATAAACTAAAAAGTCATCTTTGCAAACCCACAGAAGACATCCTGTTAAGGACAATGTGGACAATATCCAAAGAGATTTAAATCACTAAAATTATGGGACACCAGCTCGCACATCTTTCATTCGATAAATCACCACATACTCGTATATCCCTGCAATATCGAAGCCAATCAATCAATGCCGTAATTCTGTGTAAACCGCACTGTTCACACCTCTTCAAAAATGCAACTCGGGAAGCAGGAAAGGGGGGGGGGGTACGTACAGAGGACATTCTTTGTGCCCGGAGCCGGGACCGAAACGTAACGAAATGGGGAATAAGTTATATGCACCAGCCGGCACCAGGTGACCCAGATGTCATTCAGGCACTCAGGCGCTAAAACATGGCCCTCAACACACAGCACAGTATGGCCAATAACAATAAAGGCAACACCAGAGCCAGAGCCAGTGCCAGTGGCGGCGCCATTCGGCGGCTCGTGTCCGTGTCCGTATCCGCACACAGAAGCTGAAGAAAATTCTATTGTGTAATGGTCGTCGTCGCTTCAGGTTCTGGCCATTCAAACCTGACAGCGTTGTTTAATGGGCAGTTCCTCAGTTCCCTCAGAACCCAGAGAACCCCTTCCTTGAATGCTACGGACAGGTCGCAACCGTTCGCATGTACAGATAAAAATTTATTGCACAACTCAAAATCAGAGGCCAGGCGGAGGGGACACTGGACGGGTGTCCCGTGCCTTTGTGCGGGAAGACCCTCTACATAAATTTCATTCCAAAAAAAAAGAAGAAAGGAAAAAGGAAGGTTCACGGAGGAAGAGAAAAACAACAACTGCGGGGCAGGGAGGCAAAGAAAATCGTTAACTTGGGGCCCCCCAGAAGTGCCCCCAGAGCCACAGTTTTATCCTGTACACAATGCTCGGGCACAAAACATTATTCCGCTTCCCGACTCCCAGCTGAATCCCAGAGTCAACCATCCACCCCACCCCTCCGCTCCCCTCCCCACCCTAGTCCACCTCCACCTCCACTCGAGTCGACTCGACGACTCACCTCAGTGACGACCTCGTTGCATTCGTCAGAAGCGCTGTTAGCACATTTTCTAAAAAGGATGCGATAACACGGCCCTCGGCCAAAAGCTGGGAGAAAGTTGAGGGGTCACACAGTCTAATTGTACGGAAGCCCCAACCCGACGAACCGACAATTGCCAGCGGCTCACAAAAGGGCAAAAAGGGCCCGCACACAGAGAAGTAGAAAATGAGAGGCTAATGCCTCAGCAGTCCTAAGAAAACTGACCTTTCAATAAAGGAAAATCTGAATGGGAAACACATCTCATAGATTAGCGAATTTCATTCGCAGATTCTCAAATTCTCATTACGCGGCACTTTGCGGGTTATTCCTGAGAACTCAAATGGGAAAATAATTTTCATTAGCGTACCGTACTCCTGTCTCAAATTATACTAGATTCACTGGGAGAGGGAATGAGAGAGAGAGGGCTATAATAATGATCCAATCGATCCGATCACTAATAAAGAAAACCGTCAGGACATTTATCTTTCAACAGAAGAAGAACTAAGACATCTTTCGTAATTATTTTCCCTCGTCTCTAGGACTAAGAGTGATTCCATTTTCCATAAGATTGGAGATCCCCTTGGATATAAAACTATGGCATTAAAATTTCGAAAATTGTAGACACTTCAAGTGATTGAATGGTAATTTTAGAATCTGTCAACCGAACTCCCTCCAAATGCTCCATTTGGAGATCTAGTTCCAAGCCTCAGACAACCCCAAGCACACTTTCTAAGGACAGAAGTTCTGCCCGAAACTCCTGTCTAGCTGTCCATCGTAGTGACGGTGTGAGGGCTAAGAAGCATTTGGCAAATAAAAGAACTGAATCCTGACATTTTCGATATGGGTCTGACTTATCCACGAAGCCGCCGATGCCCTCCTCCATCCTGGCAGAACTGTCCAAAGGAACATGCGAAAGCAACAATAGATGATAGACAGGCGGCAGTCGGCAGTCAGTAGTCAGAGCCGAAAGTGAAAGTTATGCCAAACAAAGCTAATGAAGCCATCAACAGGGCACGGTACAGAGCAGAACCCTACTTAGAATCGTCCGCACAGGTACTGTCGGTACTGCTGCACCAGAAATACTCTACATAATACATATACTCTAATGTTGGGGAAAGTCTTGCGTAATTCATTTGTGTTTCCCAAAGCCCCGTGGCAAGAAAATTGTTTTGACAAGAATTGACATTTGCCAGTGTGTGTACCAGCGGCAGTGCCGTGCCGTGTGTTGTCGGCACCTGTCAAGATACTGATGGCCACAGTGATACACAGTGATATACATACGATTTGTAAACCAGGTATACCACGTGTCCCTCCTGGACAGTGTAAATATATACTATATAGTCATCAAGTACACACAGAGAAATATACGAGTATTACATAAAATCGCCATAAATTATCTTACATTACAAGAAATTTAGGTATACTTAAATTTAGATCAATAATTTCCATACAAATTTCTGCAATTTTATTGTTCAGACAGAATTCCACCCTACAAACCTACCCATTACTGCTATGCCACACTGGAAGAGGGTAAAGATATGCAT